CAAGAACATGCTGTTGGAGTGGTGCCGGGCCATGACAAGAAACTACGAGGTGGGCACAGAACGGGGACCCATGGATGAGGCAGGGGACTCTTACCCAGGGAGGTGGTGCCGGGGAGGGCCTGAGTGGTGCTAACCCCAAAGAGAGGGAGGGAGAGAGGACAAAGTTGAGGCCCTCTGGCCCGGGGGTCACCAGGCCTTCTGCACCCTGGCCCCACAGCACGTGGATATCCAGAATTTCTCCTCCAGCTGGAGCAGTGGCATGGCCTTCTGTGCTCTCATCCACAAGTTCTTCCCTGATGCCTTTGACTACGCGGAGCTGGACCCCACAAAGCGCCGACACAACTTCACCCTGGCCTTCTCCACCGCAGAGTAAGCTGGGCCGCGGGATGCAGGCCCGCTGGGAGCTCGGGCCGCCCAAGAGTGGGCTGGAGTCACAGGGGTGGACAGTGGTGGTCAGGTGGATGTCGGGCCACACGTTCATGAATCGACAGGTATCTATGGAGCCCGGGGCTCTGGGGCAACGTCAGTGGCTTCAACAGGCAAAACCCCTGCTGGCTCAGGGGGCCCATTCAAGATGGAGAGACAGATCATAAACACACACACAGGTGAAAATAATATCAAACGGTGACAGTGCCACCAAGAAAATTCAGGCAGGGTAAGGGACAGAGAAGAGAAAGGCCTGCTGTTTTAGACAGGAATGTTGCAGAGATTGGGGTCGGACTCCGGCTCCGTCATTTGTCGGCGCCGTGGTCTTGGGCATGTCTCTACCTCCCTGAGTCTTCATAGTCCAACTTCTTAAAATAGGCATGGTATTTCCTTTCCAGCATTCTTGTAAGGATCAAGTAAAATAATCAAGCTCCTGTAACAGTTCCTAACCCTGCGCAGTAGGCCCTTTGGCTGTGTCACCACAATCTCATGAATGATTCCACAGTTGCTATGATGATTATTTTTCACTTCACAGCCTGACAGGGAATCGTTGCTCCAAAGCCAGCCTTAGCCCCAGGGCCCCACCTCTACCCATGAGAAGCTCAGCCCAGGAGCTCCCTCCAGTCTTGGGGAGCAACACAGGAGATGCTTCTGAGTTACCAGGGGGGACACAGGGCTGTGCGGAGGGCAACTCTGAGGCCCAGGGAAGGACCTCATGTGTATTTCCAAAGCCCAGGGACAGGGATTAGATAATGAGAACGTGAGAGCACTTTGGCGTGGGCAGCCGAGCCCCCTAATCTAATCCAGGCCTGGCCACCAACCTGCAGGGGGATCGCATGTCCCCATCAGCAACATGAAAGGATTAATATTGATCTGAGCTTCTCAACATTTTCTTCTTCACGGCTGATTTCCTCAAAGAAAACTTTAAGTGAATGTTCAACTACAAAACAGATGAAAGGGAGAACTTTTTAGGTTAGGAAGAGCTCCTCCTAACCTCCCCTCCCTTCCCAAGATGGCCCCCGAGGCACGTCTGTAGGGTCCTAGAACAGCAAGGATACCCTCTGGAAACCGCCAGGCTCTGGGTGAGGGGTGTAGACGGGTGGAAGGGCATTTACCTAACCCATCAAGGCCCTGGGTTCCAACTCTGGCACTGGAAGGGAAAAATAAACCCCACACCAGACTCCAGGTTCCAGAAGGTTCCTTCCAGTTCCACATTTTCTTGCCATGGGACAGGATGGGGGTGTTCACAGTAGGCTCTTAATAAATACACAGAGTCAGAATGAATGGAGCTCTTGTGGATGCTACAGCTGCACCCCAGCACTGTGGCTAGGATTTGTTTTCTGCCCTTTTGGGGGACTGGCCTAGCAGGAGTTCTGGACAGATAGACAAATGTATGGAAGGAGGAGGTTAATGTAGAACTAGAGACCTGCTCCCAGGCAAGGATGTGAAGACATGGAAGCTTTGGAATCAAATGCATGAGGCAGTGAGGAGCACCATGTCCCACCCTGGGCTCAGAAACACCTTTAACGATGACAGTTTCATGAGTCCAGTGAGCAGGCACCACGCGTTCTGCCAAGGGGTTTCCTTGGATGGTCTCATTTTGTCCTCCACAATCCTGCAGTGGATACAAGTAGAGAGCTTGCCTGATTTTTTTCTGTGAGGGAGGGCAGTGGCAGGGCTGGGCTGTAGGGAGCATCGTGAGCATCAGAAAGAAGGCCATTCAGCTCTGACCCGGCCAAATATCCCCAGCCTGGAGGGCACAGGCCACTGGCCTCCCGCAGCTGCCTGGTGTCTGGTGCCAAGCCAGGCAGGGTCACAGGAAGGCAGGAGGAATAATCAGAGGACACCTAGAGGCTGACAGGAGGCGTTGGGTAGTGAAAAGGGAAAGGAGGCAGAGAAGAGTGGAGACAGCCGCAGGAGAACAGAGCAGAGGCTCCTAGGTTTGAACCTCGACCCCTCCTTCCCACTGGATGACTGGGAAGCTCACTTAACATCTCTGGAAGCTTCCTATCATAGTGTTTGGTGCAAAGATCAACTGTGAAAAGTAAGGGCCCCCTGCCCAGTCACTACATATGACTGCTTTGTTCCGGTACTTTCCTGATTCCCATGGAATCCTGAGATGAGGGGAGGCAACGTCCAAGGCTGAACTGAGGCCAGTGCTACCACCCTGGAAACAAGGGTTTTGCCTCTCCTGGGGCTGAGGTCACTGCCTTGGTTGCAGGGAGCTTGCTTGTCTTGTTCTTCGAAATGCTCGGGTCTGCATCCCTCCCCCAGCTCCCTGGCCAGCTCAGCTTGGATTTCAGCCCAGCTGTCTCAGCCCCAAGAGAGGATTTCCGCTGGGGCCCTCCTCTCTCCTACTGCCAGTGTCCATGGTGGCTTTGGCAGCCTGGAATTGCTGAGACCCAGCTTCAGAGCAGGTGCCAAAGGCATCAGGCAGGTCTAGAGTTGAGTCCCAGCTGTCATTCACTTTGACCTGGAGCAAATCCCCCATATATTGAGGCTCAGTTCCTCTGCAGGCAGGTTGAGGACCAGTCAGTGAGACCATCCAAAGGCAGTTATTTGATAAAGCACTTGTCAGTGGGTAGTGAGGCCCCCAACAGCGATTAGCTCAGCTTATCAGCCTCAGCAAAGCTGAGTATCAAATGGCCTCACAGGGCACCTGGGAAGTTAGAAGGAAAGGACAGACTGCCAAGTTCCCGGCAGCCCCTCAAACACACCAAACATGGCTGTCTCAGGGCCTTTGTAAGTGCTGTTTCCTCCATCTTTAGTCCTGTCCCCAGATATGCATATGATTTAAAAAATCATGAGCAACCTATGAAAAATCCCGGATCCCCCCTCTGACACAGGAGCGGATGCTCTTACTGTTCCTGCCTTATTTTTCTCTTCGGCACCTCTCACCATTTGATGTGGCATCTACTTCACAGGTTTGATTACTCTCGGTGCCATGAGAGTGGGGAAGTTTGGGCTTTGTTCATTGCTGAATTCCTGGATCCTAGAAGAGTGCCTGGCACACAGTAGGCTCTTAATAAATACACAGAGTCAGAATGAATGGAGCTCTTGTGGATGCTACAGCTGCACCCCAGCACTGTGGCTAGGATTTGTTTTCTGCCCTTTTGGGGGACTGGCCTAGCAAGAGTTCTGGACAGATAGACAAATGTATGGAAGGAGGAGGTTAATGTAGAACTAGAGACCTGCTCCCAGGCAAGGATGTGAAGACATGGAAGCTTTGGAATCAAAGCCAGCTGAGTTTGAGGGGTTTTGTTTCTTTTTCTTTCTTTCTTTCTTTTTTTTTTTTTTGTACCAGGGATTGAACTCAGGGGCGCTTTACCACTGAGCCACATCTCCAGCCCTTTTTATTTTTTAATATTGAGACAGGGTCTTGCTAAGTGGCTTAGGGCCTTGCTAAATTGCTGAGGCTGGCTTTGAACTTGGGATCCTCCTGAGTCACTAGAATTACAGGCATGTACCACCATGCCCCACTGGGTTTGAGTTTTAAATCAGTCGGGGCCTCAGTTATCTCATCCATACAGTGGGATGGCTGGCTAGACAATCTTCCAGCTCCAACATACATGGTTTGATAAGATTCATCCTCCCTGAGCTACCCCTGCCCGTGAACTTGGCTCCCATATCCTTCACCTGTGTTGCTCTGATGCTCATCCCACCCATCCCTCAGGAAACTGGCGGACTGTGCCCAGCTGCTGGAGGTAGATGACATGGTACGGCTGGCAGTGCCCGACTCCAAGTGTGTGTACACCTACATCCAGGAGCTGTACCGCAGCCTCGTGCAGAAAGGGCTGGTGAAGACCAAGAAGAAATGAGCTGACAGGCCTTGTGGGTGGAGGCAGCAGGGTGCCCAGATGACCAGCAGTAGCACCAGCTTCAACTGCATTAAAAATACTTTTGTAAAACCCCGTCTTGCCTTTCTGCTCTCCGGACTCTGCCCCATGAGTGTTCGATAAGTGGTGGCCAAAGTACATTCTGAGCCACTGGGGATACTTTTCCCAATTCTCTTCTGCTCTTTCCACGCTTTTCCCCAAATTTGGGAACTGCAGGACCGGAGCTAGAAGTTTTTTTAGAAATCATACCCAAACTGGGCTGCTGGGATCTGGGGTGACTCTATTGAGATAACGCACATTCTGTCCCTGGGATGTCAGTAGTTTTGTCGGAGTTTACTACAATGGCAACCAGAAAGTTCTTCCTGTGGGTTAAGTTAATCCCTCCAACTGTGGCTGAAGCTTCTGTTTGTTTTCCTCGTTCCATTGTTCATCACGATGAACCTGGATCTGGTTATCATTTTGTTAACAATCCTGTCTGGCTTTATCAGCCATTGCAGCGTGTTTGCTCAAAAACAAACAAACAACCATCACAAAATCTCAGGCTGGCATGGCTGCAAGAGGTGTGGGCTCCAACCTGATTGGCAGAGTAGACCCCTGCAGTCCATTGATGTGCTCTGTGCTTGATACATCATCTGTAAAATGTGGGTATTATCCCTGTGTGCTGTTTGAAGCCCCCCACCCCCGGCCAAGGATGGCCTATTGTCTCATGGCCAGCATCCCTTATATTTGGGAAATATACATGAGAAACAGGGTCACACCTTTATTATCATTAGAGTATTATTATTATTGCATTATAATCATACAAAACAGTGGGGTTCATTATATTTGTATGTGTATACAACAATTTGATCAATTTCATTGCCCAATACCTCCCCTTTCCCTCTCCTCCCTCCCATCCTCTACTGGTCTCCCTTCCACTTTCATGAAATCCCCTCACTCTTTCCCCTTGTGGTGTCTGTAGCTTCCATATACAAGAGAAAACACACCACAGGGTCCTACCAGTTGCTAGATGGCAGCTAAGTCCCAGCCCTCTCTCCTGATGAAAGCCCCGTCCCCTCACTGAGGAGTCTGGCCTAATGCCACAATTCATGAGTGGCCAGCATATGGGTCCTATGACTCCCCCTGGATCCTGGAGGGCACACAGCTCACAGCCTGAGGTCCCACTCCTGTCAGGACAGCAGTGGTCTTCAAAAGTGTAGTCAGATTGCTGATCTGGAGGATAAACTTTTTTCATTTTGTGGTTCATTAGTGGAAAACAAAAAGCTTAGTATCTAAATCTGTCCACACCTATCAGTAGTTTGGCTGATTTCAATCAGTGGAACATATGACGTCTTCCTCGGACCCTGCCTCCCACCGTGTCTCCCTCTGCCCCCACCCCTCAATGCCTGGGTCCTGGTGGGTTCTGGTTTACTACCAGCTGGTCTGGAAGATGACCTGTTCTCTAAGAGGGACAGCTGGAGAAACGGCCTATAATTCTGCACACCTAAACTCTGCTGGCTCTGGGGAAGATCAAGGGTGTGGGAAGGGCACACCTGTGGCCAGCTGAACCTGGGAATGAGTCCACACAGTATGCACATGCCTGCAGCCCCACTCCCACCCCATGTATAGAGTCATGTGCAGCAGCTAAGAAGGAAGACATGAGCAGGGCGTGAGCCTCCTAGGAGCTCTGGCCTAAGTCCACAAGGTACGTCCTTCCACCCGGCAAAGGATCCAAGAAAAGAGGGGTCAGACTGGGAATTAGGAGGGCCGGTCTACTCCGAATTCAAGGGTGAACTCTTCAGCCTTCTTCCTGAACAGCTCCGGGTCCTGTAACAGCAAGTCAGCGAGCTCCACCCGCAGGGGCTCCCTGGGATTGGGTTTATCCACCAGCATGTTGAGGGCCTCCAGGACTGTTGAGAGAGGCCAGATCAGAACAGCAGGTTAGGGGGGGAAATCCTGGAAGGAGGATCCCCTGAACCACTTATGGGGAGAACCCCAAGGAGATCCCATCTCTTAGGATGATTCTACAAACAAAACAAACGTCCCCATCATTCTTGGTGGATAACACCCAGTGCTCTGGCTCAGTGGGTCAGTGGTCCTCAGTAACAAGCTTCTCATGAGATATGGGGTTTCTGGGTTTCACCCTCCCTTCAACAAGAACCACTCTGGTTTTATCTGCTATACTGGGATTCCAAATTAACTTGGGTTTGGGGAAAAGAGTTCTAAGGCTAAAGATTGAAAACAACTGCTGCTCCATAGCTTTCCTCATTCACAGGAGCCTCTGGGAACCCCAGGGAAAGTGGCAGGCCGTCTCCCTAAACACATGCACAAACACACAGTTCCAGGTGAACCGTGCTTCACAGACGCCCTGAATCCCATCCAGAGACCACTCCCCATGCAGCTCCACCACTCCAGGGATCTTTGTTTCCCAGGGTTAAGTATTCCTGTTTACTCAGAAACAGGATGGAAACTGATGAAGGCCATCGGCTCTAGAACTAACCACGTGTGCTTATCTAAATCTAATTTAATTAAAATTAAGAATTAAATTTAAGCAGCTGGGGTTGTAGCTCAGTGGTAAAGTGCTTGCCTAGCATATGGGAGGCACTGGGTTCAATTCTTAGCCCTGCATATAAATAAAATAAAATAGAGACTCATCGACAACTAATAAAATATTTTTTAAACATTTTTTTTGTAGCTGTAGATTGACAGCATGACTTTATTTTTATGTGGTGCCGAGGATTGAACCCAGTGCCTCACACACGCAAGGCAAGCACTCTGCCACTGAGCTACAGCCCCAGCCCTAATAAAATATTTTAAAATTTTTTTTTAAAAAAGAATTAAAAAAATAAAAAGAATTAAAATTAAAAATCCAGTCTCATTTGCTGGATGTGGGCTAGTGACTACTGTATTGGACAGCAGAGCCACAGAACATTTCCAGAACTGCAGAAAGTTGTGTTGGACCACACTGTGAGCTAAGCTCTGCCCCTTGCCAACTTAGGCTCCTGCTTCACCTCTTGTTTGCCTCGGTGTCTCTGTCTATTCAATGGGTTCATGATGGCCCTCCTCAGAGATGGCTGCCACGATTAGATGAAGTTGGCAGATGATGCACTTAGCACAGTTCTAAATGGGCTCTGTTAAGTGATGGGCAGTATCATTGCCAGGACAATCCCTTCCATTGTCATTTAGGGCACTATGTCCCAGAAAAGCACAGAGGTTTGCCCAAAGTCCACGGATGGAGCAGCAGATCTTTTAATCCCAGGTCCTTCCCTCTACAGCGAATCTGCCCTCTTTCCCATGAACCATGGCCAAGTTCATCTGTCTCACCTGCCTAAGATGTAGGAACAGAAGCAGGAGCAGGTTAGCAGGTTCAGAATCTCAGGAGACTCCCTTCTATCCCACATCAGGTTCAACTGATACTCATATTTTTTATCTCCCCTTTTTTAGGCTTTTCTAACTTAAATCCAATAACCTCCACCCAGACCAGTCCCTCCTCCGGGCCAGACCCAACCCACCTTGGCAAACCTTGATGTAAGGATTCCAGTTCTCCTTGCTGAGGAGGGGCACGCAGACCTCCCCACTCTCACTCACATTGGGGTGGTAGATCTTGGTTGTGAATTTCACCGTGGGCGGCTTGAATGGATACTCCTTGGAGAAGTCAATGCGCAGATGGAAGGCCTTGAGGTTGTAGGGAGGTTGGTGCTGTGCAGAGAGAAAGGTTGAGCTCTGACGCAGAGCTGCTCTGGAAAGATCACTTTCCTCCGGGGCCCCGGACTGGCCTTTCTGTCTCTGTCCCCATCCCAGGGTCCCAGACATCCTGTGCCCCCAGGAAGAATCAAGAGCACCTTCATTCATCTGGCAATGAGCCACAGATTAGTGGAAGGGTGGAATCACAAAAGGACACTAGTGTCAGAAAATGTGACCCTGGCTTTCACTATCTGACCAAGAGTGAGGCATCTCTCATCTCTGGGTCTCAGTTTCCTCAGTTGAAAAACCGATCAAGTTTGACTAGATGAGCTACAAGGACCATCTCAGTTTTATGGTTTTTCTGGAAGACAGCCCAGGAGAAGGATAGACCATTCTCTTTCTAGTTGTTAGCAAGTAGAAGAGAAGGTTGTCATTGTGGGGTGAGTGGTGGAATGGAGAGAAGGAGGAAATGTTAAGAACTCAGAGGTTTGGGGATGGAAAATGGGAAAGGTACAGCAATGCCTCACAAAATTAAAAAGAGAGCCAGGTGCAGTGGTGCACACCTGTAATCTCAGCAGCTCGGGAGGCTGAGGCAGGAGGATCGAAAGTTCAAAACCAGCCTCAGCAAAATTGAGGCACTGAGACACTCAATGAGACTCTGTCTGTAAATAAAATGCAAAATAGGGTTCGGGATGTGGCTTAGTGGTTGAGTGCCCCTAAGTTCAATCCCTGGTTACCCACTTCCCCCAAATTAAAAAGAGAATAAGTCCAGCAATTCTACTTCTGGGCATATCCTCCAAAGAATTGAAAGTAGGGACATGAACAGGTATTGCATACCAATGTGCATTGGTGTTCACAGAAGCATTATTCACAACAGCCAGAAGATGGAAGCAAACCAGGTATTATCAACAGATGAATAAACAAAATGTGGCATACGCACATGGTAGAACACTATTCAGCCTTTCAAAGGAATGAAATTCTAGTGCTGGCTATAGTATTGATGAACCTTGAAGACATTGCACTAAGTGAAATAAGCTCCAGAAAAAGCAACAGATATTGCACTATGCCACTTATGTGAGGGACAGAGAATAGTCAAATTCGTAGAAAAATAAAGTATAAAATTGGTTAGCAGGTGCTGGGAGGAGGGGGAAATGAGGGAGCTGTTGTTGAATGGACACTGAACTTCAATATGAAGGATAAGGAGTTCTAGAGATGGGTGGTGGTGTTGATTGAGCACCAACACAAGCATATTTAATGCCACTGAACTGTATTCCTGCCCCAGGTACTGGGGATTGAACTCAGGGGTGCTTTACCACTGAACTACATACCCAGTCCTTTCTATTTTTACTTTTTAATTCTGTGACAGAGTCTCACTCAGTTGCCCAGGTCAGCGTCAAACCTGCCATCCTCCTGCCTCAGCCTCCTGGGTTGCTGGGATTGCATTTGTGCACCACTGCACTCAGCTGAACAACATCTTTAAAAATGAAGCCAAGCGTGGTGCACATCTGTAATCCTAGCAACTCAGGAGGCTGAGGCAGGAGGATTGCAAGTTTGAGACCAGCCTGGGCAACACTGTCTAAAAAAAAAAAAAACGTGGTTGAGACGGTAAAGTTTGTTCATATATATTTTACCATCAATTTTTTGAAAAGTACCAACTCAAGGACCAGAGTTCCCCAGGGGTTGGGAACTTCCAGAAACCAGTAGGAGGTCCTCCAGGCTTGAAGTGGCCTGAAGACTTTCTTGAGCACCTACTCTGTGCTCTCTGAGATAATGGTCGACATGCGGAAGAGTGTAGGGGCTACATGGACTCTGGAGCTACCTACCCGGATGTGAATCTTGGTTCTGCCACTTATATGATCTTGGGTAAGGAATTAGCCTCTCTGTGCTTCCAAATGGGGACAACAATAGACTTCTCCATAAGGTTTAGGTGAGGATGAAATGATTGACTTTACGTCAAAAAACAAACAACAACAAAAAAAAACTTAGAACAAAGCTGAGGATGGTGGAGTACACAGGTAATCCCAGTGACTTAGAGGCTAAGGCAGGAGGATCACAAGTTTGAGGCCCGCCTCAGAAACTTGACAAGACCCTGTCTCCAAAGGGCTGGGGATGTAGATCAGTGGTAAAACACCCCTAGATTCAATCTCCAGTACTGAAAATAAATAAATAAATGACAACTGAGAGCAGGACCTTGAACTTGGCTAGCACTGTATATACGTCAGCTATTATGATCCATAGGAAAACTCACATCTACCAGCATCTCCATTTTCAAATCAGGAACGTCAAGTTCAGCACAAGTTCACAGTGGTGGGGCTGGGACAGAGACACAGCACTGTCGACTTTACATCTCCTCACAGGACCAGTGTTCTATATCCGTAGACGGAAGGAACCCCAGAACTTGGTGATCTCTGCACAAAGCCCCGAGTCCTTTGACCTTTCAAACTGAAAGCACAGGGCAAAGGAAGCCAGAATGACAGGAGTCCCTCTCAGCAGAGTCAAGGGTTTGTTTGGTTTGGTTTCTGTTTTTGATTTCAGTGTTGGGGATGGAACCAGGGCCTCGCATCAGGCTAGGCAAGCATTTTACCACTGAGCTGCACCAAGCCCAGAGCCAGGATCTTCGCAGAGCTCCTTCTTAATGGGGGGTAAACTGGAAACCCACAGTGGCCATGGGCGTATGGAGGTAAAATGAAGCAACAACTGGGTAGATAAAGAGAATGACCGGTTTTTATGGTGTTGATAATGAGAAAAGGCCTTGTGAGGTAGAGATAAGGCCCAGGGCAAGGCCTCAGGTCAGGGTGGGGGGGGCATCGAGCATCCTGTCTGCAGGGCCTTCTTGCTGGGCTTCCCAAGTCTTAACAGAGGACAGAGGTTGCAGAGAGATGGAGCTGAGAGCTCTGGGACCTGTCCCACCTCTGCCACAAGCTGGTTGTGTGACTGAGCTTCTGTAAGGCTCAGCTTCCTCATCGATCAAGGGAAGTTGGACAAAACCAAGGATTTCAAGTTGCATTATACTTAGTCCTACTGACTCCCAAGTTCTGGGTTAAATGAAACATCTTGCTATTTTAATATTCCAAAAGAGCTTTGAGCCACAAAAAAGCTAGTAATAATAAAAAATAATTTTTATTTTCAAGTAACCAAAGGTGTGTAGATGAACTTCTCAAAGATAATGTCTTCAGTACCAATAATTAGATGACAAAACTGAGATCTCATAGTCTGCTAGATTCTTGGGAATATTTCTTTCAAAGGGAGATTTTATCAAGATGCTACCAAATAATGAACAGAGAGAAAGGAGAACAGTAGA